CAGGAGACCGTTTTAAGCGATACAATAAGATCCTAACGATTCAGAATTTCAGACGAAATGCTCAGCGTGTTGATGTTCTTGAAAGGGAATGAGAAAATGAAGTGTGAGCTGTTGCCAATTGACTGCTCTTTATCTTTGAATTTTGTTATCGCCATTTGGTTATTTTCTTACTGTCGGAGCGTATTTTATTATTAGACAGTGATTATCTGTTAGACAATGATTCAATAAAATTTTTCAACTGTTTGGTAGCGTAATGAGGCTTTTTTCCCTATACAAATAAGTGATGCAACTGCAAATTTTGAGAGCGAATTTCAAAGCAGCAATAGCGAATGGAGGACTGATTTTGCCTAGTTAGTGGATCAGCAATAACACTTCGCTATCTTTTGTAATGATAACGACAGCGGATTTGACAAATTTTACTTCAGCGAACGAGCGGAAAGCGCGCTATTCGCTGTCGCTACTTCGAATCTGCAAAGTCGAAAAGCAATCCTAGCTTGTTGACGTTTTTCGCAGCCGGAAAAATCCTGTCTACGCCACTGCATTAAATCATCCGAAATGTGGTTGTTTCGGCACTGTTACTCTCCTGCAGACACGATTATTGAAGTTATCAACTTTTGAACAAATTCAGAAATATCTGCTCACGTGAACTTAACGTGAAAAAAACCGAAAAATCAGAGATGAACGCATTTTTCAGGCTGTTCACATCATCATGGATCGTGGTTAGCAAAAATTCAGGAATCAGTGCCATAAACGACCGTTTGATTTGACTGAATTGAAACACGGAAGACGAGTTATCAGCAAAATCATTTATTGGCAGTGAAGTAGAGAACTACATGAAACAACAGCAAGTGCACATCTTAGTCTATAAATGCTTCCTATTTCATGAGAGAGATTTTCTTAAACATAGCAGTAAAAAGCAATATAAACTTTGTGCTGGGTTTTTTTGACCGTTATCAGAGATTTCATGAAGTATCAAGATCAAAAGTGTTATTCTACGGCTTGTCAATCAATTTTAAGTAGTGAATGAATGATGCAGCATTTAAGATGTGATTCTTAGAAAATCTTAACTCATGTTAAAATGATCTCAAGGAAGCGTAAAACACTTGAGAATTTTCTTGAAGTCTATTCATTTCTTCTTGCAAGCCTCAACACATTCCACATTCTCCGCACATTCCGAGCAAACAGCTTCTTGAACGGCTGGTCCATAACATACGCAATCATTATCACCAATGCAAGCCCTTCAATTGATTAATTCTTATGAATGTGATTTCAGTGAGTCTTTCAAATGGTATCATTTCTTCAATAAACGTAACGAATCCTATGGTCAAGGCATCCGGTCGTTCCAGCAATGTTCTGCACTTCCTAACATCAAAACAATGAACATCTTTCAGCAAAAAATGCAATTTCGAGACAACGAAAAATACAAAGACCAAAAATTACCTCGATCTTCTCAAATCTCCACCGGCGTGCTGATTCCATCCCCACCATTCAGACCATTGGCATGACAGTCCAGTGGTTGCAGCAGTACTACCAACTTCTGTTCTTGTGACTGGTTTGATATAATACGGAACTCGTACAGGTATTATCACTGGTCCTGGCTTATAAACGGGTGTAGGACGATGATGGTGTATGAGTTGTTTTCTGATCACGGCAGGTTGAGTTCCTAGATGAGTAGGTGCTATGGTAGTTAGAGGTAGTGGTTGCAGTTGTGGCTGGGTTACTGGCTGAGGTTGATACACAGATTCAGGTGGGAACTCGGGTTCAGCTTCGTATTCGTAAGGGATCGGCGCACAGTGATGTTCGTTGCAAGACATTTGTTCACGATCATAACCAGCACAATCGCATCCACTGCTGTCATCTTAAAATATTTGTTTTTTAGGTGTTTTTCGATGGAAACATAGATAGGCAACAATGTTTTTGTTGAATTGTTTTTGTTGACTTTATATTCACTCTCACAAATGACTGCTCATTATATTTCTCATACCTGATTTAATTGCTATTCTGAACATTTTAGGATAAGATGAACCGCGTGCTCAATACATGCAATTATGTAATAGGGATTGATTCAAATACTATGAAATACACGCAATTCGCCATTACTAGGATACGCTTCATTCGCTGCTGACGATAACAGTTGAAATCAATTTCATCACTAATCATGATCTCAAATCACATACACCGATCAATTAAAAGGTGACTAACCCGTTCCAGGTCTCAGACACATCCTTGATCGTGTTAATCGTCCTCCTCCACAATCACGATCGCAACTGCTCCAATCATTCCATGTTGTCCATTGACAACATGCTTGCACAAGGCATACTGAGTGATCCTGAAGTGACTGACCATAATGCACGGTTGATACATACAACATAATTATATTTCAGTTCTCGACACAACGAAAATATTCCATCGAAGAGCATTATCAACTTTTTATCTCACCGAGAATGAAACAGAAATTCCTGGATCACTTTGCTGTCAAATGAATGAAACAAACCACGGCATCTCCTTCACATCTGCTTGATGCATCTCCTTCCGAAGTTACGCATTCACGCCGTCTTGTCTTCTTACCCGGACCACAGTCCTTGTCGCATGTCGACCAGTCTCCCCATGGTGTCCATTGCGCACATGCACGAATATCGCATTGTTGAGTATCCTTTATTCATATTTGGTGATTTTCATCAGAATCTCTAATATTGCATCGAAGAGCACTATCACCTTTTCATCCCACCGCATTCAACACATTTTTTTCATTTCAGTTCGTTTCATAGGCGCTTCGCGATTTTCAGCTTTGTTTTTTGTAGTGTAACTATTATTTTAGTCACTGCTTCAAACCTTCGAAATTCACTGGATTTGAGCAAACGATTTTTGCAACAGTCACTGCCA